ATTGATATTTATAAAATCTAGATTTTGTTATGCATTGAGTCTGTTTGTTTTCTAAATTTGAGAGTCTTCTCTTTTAGCGAGCAATTCTCAGTCATGTAGCAACTTGGATCTATGGCACAAGCCAAGTAAAAATAAGTAATTATCCCATTACACATACCACAACAACATATTGACAAGCCTTCTAACAACAAGAGTCCATGGCAATTTTGTCAGAGGATAGCTAGATGACAATTTATAGAAATTACGAGACATAGGAACATGATACACCACACCATTAATATGTGATCAGCAAAACTCAAGTTGATCAGTAGTCCTGGTCCCTTTACAGTTCTTTACACAGTCCTTGCTTTGCCTAATGCATATTTTGGGTTACCATGGTTTAGTTAAACAACATCAGTACTTCAACAACATGGTTTAAATTTAATTTACCAAGGTACATTAAGTGTTAAGTGCATTTTGTATACACTTCACTGCTAGGTAGCTCTTCAGTTCACAAACTACTGCAAACATCTCATACACACGAGTCAGTGACCAATCACATTAGAGATTCTTTCAAAGTCTGTCAGGAGATAGCACTGTGTGCAGACAGCAAAGGATAGGGCTACACTGCCTGTCTCCCTGAAATAAAGCTACACAATGTTTTACAAAAACTGATTATCGAAAGATAATCAACAAAGATGAACATGAAGGAAAGAAATGAGAAATCATAATGATAAAGGTACAATTCAAATGAAAGATAAATGGAGTTATAGAAGAAATCATGACCATGGGAATGTCTGACATCACTGCCATTCAAGACTCTAGAATTAAAAAGCCAGAGGAACTTTGTATACATGATTTTGATAAGAAATGGAGTTGTGGCCAGGGATTTAGCTCAGTGGTTCCATCACCTGCCTCGCAAGCCTAAGTCCTGAGTTTGATCCCCAGAACCAAAAAAAAAAAGAAATGCAGTTGTGACAAAATGTATGTACATGTCACAGAAGAAGTACCACTGGCAAAAATTCTACACTGAAGGGAACCCTGGGAGCTATTTTACAACATTGAAAGAGCAAAGATTAAAAATGTCAAAAGTTGATCCAAAATTAGCAACGAGTATGAAAAGTCACTACAACAGAAAAATGCTTGCTTCACATCATAAGTCATATGTCTTGAAGATGGCAAAGCAATGTCCAAACTACTCTTCATAAGTATGGATTTTTTTAAGAAGGAAATAAAATGCTTTTTTAATGTCTAATGCCTTAAATTAGTGTAGTAAATAAATACTTGGTTTTACTTAATATTTTAAAATTTTTCCTATACCTTTACAACCCACAGTAAGAGGTTTTTGTGTTTTCCTTTCTTTTTTTTTTTGTTTTTGTTTTTGTTTTTGTTTTGAAACGGGGGTCTTGCTGAATTGCCCAGGCTGGCTTAAATGTTAGAATCTCCTGCCTGAACTTCCTGAGTAGCAGGAATTACAGAGATGTGCCACCATATCTAGTTTAAGTAAAAAGAGTTTTTAACGTTCTGACATAAATATTTAAAGATCACAGAAAAAGTGTAATGTCTTACCATTAAGACCACTTTGCATAGCTTTAGCTTACATGGTCAGTTTTATTATCTAACACTGCCATGCGCCTACCTAGCCCCTTCTCTCCTTCTTCTTCTCCTGTATATCATGAGATAAACTGTTTCATCCACCACTGCTCCTACCATGATCCCACCACAGACCCAGAAGGACAAGCTCAACAGGTTTTTCAGCAAACCTCTGAAACTGTGAGCCAAAATAAACCTTTATTCCTTATGAGTGCATTATTTGGGGTATTTTGTCACAGTCACAGAGAACTAAACTAACATACAACCTTAAACATTTCTTTTTTGCTTAAAACACAGAGACTTATCCATTAGCCAAGCTTTTCCTACAGGTAATGCTTCATATCACCTTTTATGCATAATACACTGAATTGTCCTATGATTTAAAGTCCTATGTTATCTAAAATATAACAAGAAGATAAAGACACTAACAACACACTCTGGATGCTGAATATGTTTAGATTCTTATTATTTCTCAATCTTTTATAGTTTGCTTTCCCATATTTAATGCTACAGCATTTTTTATAAACTTCCTCTGCTTTTCTTGAGCTAGGTTTCATTCTGACCTTTCTAAATTTTCAGGAAGCTCACTTAGTTTCTAAACAGGCACTTGTTTTTTTGAACTCACTACTCACTAGTTTACTTGAGACTCAAAGGACTATGTAATTGTAATAATAAAAAGTAATGAGCATAATGAGAATATTAGTGGCACATAATTTAACTGAAAGGAACAGAGGAGCATGACACACTTTTAAAGGTAGTTATTAGCACTGGGTGCTCAGGATGTTGTTGGCATCAACTAATATGCTTTATAGTGTAACAGGAAACAATAGTTATCCTGAGTCTATTAAATGAAGATGCATTAAGTTCTTACTTTCCCCTTCCCATGCCAGTCATCAGGCTGTATTTCCACAGCCCGCCTCACTTTAGAAAATGGCAATACCCAGTCAATCAAGCTAAAATCTTTAAGTCCTCTCTCCTTCCTTATCAATATCTAAGGCATCATCATTCTGTCTTTATAGAAACCCTCAAAATATGTCCTGGATCTATTTTCTTCTCTCCATCTCCATCTCCATCTCCATCTCCATCACACACAGTCCAAGGTGCCATCACTGCCTAATGAAGATAACTTCCCAACTAATCGTCCAACTTCTGTTACTGTCTCCCACTTTGAAAGATTCTCCATGTAGCAGCACCAGAGAACTGTGTGAAATATAAATGAGAGCATTGCTTCTCTGCTTTAAGCTCTTCTATTCTTGAAGTAAAAATGAAACTCATCTTCATGCCCTACCAGATCCTAAAGGATTTAACCCATACTTACCTCTGTGGCTTCATCTCATACCCATTCTGCTTTAAGTACAGCAGTTCTCTCCTGTTCTTCCAATATGCTAATTCCCCGTGGCCTCTGCACATGTAGCTCATTCTGCCTGTAACATTCTTCCACTGCTTCTTTGTAAACCTCAGCATAATTTTTCACGTTACCTCAAATGTTAACCCTTCTGAAGGGGTCTGTATTAAACGCCTAAGGGAGTCTGTCTTTACATTCTTCCATCCAAGATACTATATCACATCATCTTTTTCCTTGTTTTTCTCCTAACTGACCAAACACAGTAACAATCTCAATTATATGTTTATGTATTTATGTCTATATCCAAATGTGAAGTCTCATTAGAGCATGATCTTCCTCCCTCTCACTCACCATTGTCTTTTTCCTACAGCACAAGATCATTTTTTGAATAAAAAAAAAAAAATGAACCATCCAATAAGACCCAGCTTAAGATATTCTCTATGAAATACAGTGATATTTCTATACATAAAATTCCTAAACTGATGTTCACAAAGAAAAGTACAGTGAGCCAGGTGCAGGGGTGTATGCCTGTAATCCTAGCTATTCAGGAGGCCAAGGCAGAAATATTGCAATTTTGAGGCCAGCTTGGGCAACACAGTGAGATCCTGTCCAAAAAAGAAAAAGAAAAAAGGGCCAGAGATGTAGCTCAATGTCAGAGAGCCTGTCTTGCATATGTAAGGCCTTGGGTTTAATCTTCAGTAAAGAAGAGGAGGAAGAAGAGAATGAGGAAAATGAAGAAGAAGAAAGGAAGGGGAAGGGGAAAAAGGAGAAAGAAAAGAAGGAAAAAAACTGTGTAAATTTCATAGCACCTTTATTCATAATAGTGAAAAAAATGGAAACAAACCAAATCTTCAACAAGAGGATAAACAAATTAAAGTATATTCGTATTAAGTAATATTATTTAAGTAATAGAAAGGAATGAACCAGTGATACAATGTCTCAAAAACATTTTGTGAAAGAAGCTAAACAGAAAAGAGTACATTCTATATGATTCCATTCATAGAAAGTTTAGAGTAATATAAATCATCTATGGTGATAAAAATTAGAACAGTCAAGTGCCTATAGAAGTTAGGGACTGACTGGAAGGAAATACAAAATAACTGGAAATGTTCTATGTCTTGACAGGTCTTTGAGGTACATGGGTGTGCACATTTATAAAACCTGATGAAATCATTCAGTGAATGCAAACTTTATCACAATTTTTTTTAAAAGCTAAAGTCCTAAATTTGTTCACTCAGAGATCATATAAGATACAGAATCCCAAGAAAGAGACCTATACCATATCCACTTTCATCAAGATTTACTTATTAATTTCTTCAATTGTCTCCTAAATTCCTATTATTCTAGAGCAGAAAAATAAAGAAAATTGGACCAAATTGTTTGACTCATGTGACAACATACTGAGAAAGTACCTATTATTATGAGAGATGATTTATTATGCACTTACGTACAGCTAAACCATATGTAACTATGATAGAAAGCATAAGCATGTATACAAGCCATTATGGAAGGACTAATTGATACTTAATATTAGTGAGATGCTATGGTACATCAAATGACCTTGTATTCTGAGACACTCATCATAAACTGGTGTTAATAAACCCGAAAGCACAGACTGACCAAGACTGCTACTTTCAACTTCTTTCTACCCTCAAAAGCACCTATGCAATGGACTCCTGATAATAATATACTAATACATGACATGCAAACAAAGAGTGCATCAGAAAAAAGAACAGAAGCTGGGTGAGGTGATACACACTTATAACCCAGCAGTCTGGGAGGCTAAAGCAAGACGATCACAAGTTGAAGCCCAGCCTGGGCAACTTAGTGAGACCCTGCCTCAAAATAAAAAGTAAAATGGGCTGAGGATATAGTTCAGTATGAAGGCCCTGGGTTCAATTCTCAGTACTAAAAAAAGTACCAAAAAATAAACAAAATAAAAATAATTTCACTTTTTTAACATAACTACTGGGAAACTTAAAAGTACATTTGTGGCATGCATTAGATTTCTACTGGCTAGCACTGCTGGCCAATAATGTATATCATTATGATACATTAATTTTTCTTTTATAATCCTCCTGACCTTTTCACTTGATTGTCTTCTTTTCTTCAGTTGAATAAAATCTGTTTCCACCCTTTCCGCCAGCTCTAGTTTCCTCTTGTTTCTTTTAAATGCAGCTAAACTGAATCCTATAAAAGAAACATTAAAAATAACATTTGAGAATTATCAGGGCAAAAGGGCAAGTGAGATACTATGAACCGCCTTCCCAGGCCAAATTATTTAGAATGTTTAATTAAGGACTTCAAAAAAGAAAAAGATTTTCATTGTACCCTGACATTGCAGGAGACTAAGATAAATATCCTAAGGTCAAAAAATATGAAAATGACCAAACCCAGAGAAACAGGTGAGTTTGGATGGTAAACACTACCTAGAGGCTGATTCGTGTCACCTCCAACCCTGGTTTTATAGATCTCTGTGCACAGGGCACACAAGGGGAAACTTAGAGAAATTAAGAGCATTACAAACACACTTGAGATATGCACAAAGAAAGGAGAGAACTCCAAAAATATAGCCAGTAAAAGGAAAAACAAGAGAAGCCACCATAAAATAAAAAACAAGAATGTTCCATGTCTCAACCTTGGTTCTAGATGTAGGAGAGAAAAAGTCACCCTGAAAAATTCATAACTAAGGAAGGCATCCAGACATCCTTAGAGGAGAAGCCATATTACCTGTGTGACGTGAGGGGAAAAAGGTGATCTCAGTGTGGCAGTGCTTAAAAAGGCCATCACATACAAATACAAATAATCTCTGAAAAAACACATATAACTTAACTTAGCAGAACCTCAAAGAATTCTCATGTTTCAATTAACATAGTTTAAAAAGTATACTTCATCAAATACATGAAAAATAAGCCAACAAGAATAAGTCAGCCAAATATCCAAAAGTACAAACTAAATTTGCAAATACCTTAGATATTATGATAATCAAATGTTACGGCTTGTATCTAGATGTCTCCCCAAAGCTTTATGTGGTCACAGGTGGAGTTTTTCAGAGGTGGCAGGATCTAGTGTGTGTGGCGCTGGGATTGATTTATGCAATGCTACACTTAAGGATCCTAGATTAAGGGTGTGCATGCTACCCGCTCGAAGGGCAAGTAGCCTGGATAAGATACAAGGGAAAGAACAAGGCCTGTCATTTGTGTCTTGTTTGCTTTTGCTTTCTTCTGCCTGCCATGAACTGTTTCTCCTCCACAATGCTCCTCTGCCATCCACTCTGCCTTGGAGCCAGCCAATTATGGACTGAAACCTCTACAAACTATGAGCTGAAATAAACCTTTCTTCCTTTAACTTTGGTTGTAAGGGATTTTGTCCCAGCCATGAGAAAGTAACTAAGACATCAGGTAGAAATGTAAGATATGAGAAATAAAAGGAAGATGCTGGAAAGTATGGCTAAGGAACAAAAGATAATAAAATGACCAGACAGATTTGAAAAGGCAAATAGGCTTCAAACTATGACTATAGAACACTATTCTATGTAATTCATTGTTTTGTTAAAATTATGGAATATTATATTTTATGTAGTATACATTATAAAGTAATATTCTGTAATTACATATAAATATAGAATATTACATTTGGTAATTATTATAGCAAAAGTTTTAAGTTTGATATACAGATTTTAATACCCAATAAGAGAAATTATAAAATAGAGCATAACACTCAAAGAGATTAAGTTTCCTTATAACAGCAGACTAAATTGTTCAGAATAATTGTCCCTCTGTATGTTATTTATAATGGTGGATAAAATAAGAAAAATACTACCTTTAAGGTATTATAAGCCTTATAAAAGGATCCAGCTAAAATCTGGGGAAGGCGAGGCTTAAACCAAGGACTGAAGCACTGTAAGCATTTGCCAACACTGGCACACTTGTGTTTCATTAAATATCAAGAAGTAAAAGTCAAGTTCAAGACACATTAAAGGCAGAGAGTTTTATAGCGGACATTCCACCATAAGCTGTGAACTAGAACCCTTACAGTATTACCCTCAGAATGACTGATCTAGAACTCAGTAAGTCCACCTCTATCTAGCCTAGTAGGAACTATATGCAGGCAAGACTGTCCTAGATCATAGTAGAGTATAAGAGGGGGAGGAAGAGAAAAGGATTGGAAAGAAAAAAGAAGTCTTAGAAAACTTTTGGTCTGCTAGGGGCGCTTGCACAGATTTGCAAGATTACACGTTGCAGAATCTCAGAAGGAGAAGGAAGAATGAATAAATAAATTTCAAGAAAAAAACTACTGAAAACTTGCTAAATTTGATGGAAGTCATCAATATAAATATCCAAAAGGATCAACAAAGGCCAAGTAGAAAAACTCAAGTGACCCATCCCAAGACACCCGTCACAGACAATATCCCCAGTGTCGCAGACACCTCCAGTGCCATTAATACTTATTATGCTGTGCAGCCTGAGGATGGACCTTTCAAGACCTACACCCTTAGTATCACAGCTCCCACTGCTGGTGACACCACCATCAGCACTTTTCCCCCACAGAACCTCAGGATATTACCTCCACAGCCCATAGCTCTGGTTTTGTTTTTTTGTTTGGATGGTTGGGTTTGTTTTTTGTTTTTTGTTGGGGGGGGGGGTTGAGACAAGGTCTCACTATTAGTTTAGGCTGGCCTTGAACTCACAGCAATCCTCCTGCCTCAGCCTCCCAAGTGCTGGAATTACAAGTGTGTGCCACCACACCTGGCCAGCCCATGGCTCTGGATTACAGCTGGTGCCACTGCCATCAAAACTCACCTTCATGGGACCTGAGGTCATTCATCCCTGATGGCCTAGAAACACTTCTGTCCCCACAAACACCTGCACTCTAAACCACTGAGGTACTCACAAACACCAATGACGCTGACTACAACTGAAGAAATCATAGGGAAACTATATTTCTGTGCATATTCAGAACCTAAACCAAAGCACCTGCCCAACTGATACACTATGGCCCATCTTGGAAGGAAGGAAGGGAGGAAGGGAGAGGAGAGGGGAGGGGAGGGGAGGAGAGGGGAGGGGAGGGGAGGGAAGGTAAGATAAGATCTGTTGAGATGAAAACTACTCCAGAAAATTGGAAGAGGCAACTGTTATACAAGACAGACATCAATGAAGGGGCACAAGAAGCTTGAAAAAGCAAGGAAGCACAACACCTTACAGTTTCTCTAGAAAGACACAAATGTAAAGGAAATGTATGAAATTAATTAAAAGGAATCTAAAACATGATCCAAATGAACAGTGAGATGTGATACAGACTACAGACAATTCAACTAAATGAGGAAAACAATTCATGATCTGCATGAGAAGTTAAACTATAAAGTAAAAACCATTGAAAACAAACAGAAATTTTGGAGCTAAAGAGTTTAATTAATATTATAACAATACAATTAAAAGCTTCAACAGGGCCAGGGATTTAGCTCAGTGGTTCCGCTGCCCGCCTCACAAGCACAAAGTCCCGAGTTTGATACCTGGCACCCCCCCCAAAAAAAACCCTACAGCATAATGAAGAAAAAACTAAGAAAAAAGCTTACAGTAATAAATTTCCACATTAAATATTTCAAATAAACAAAATAATAATCCATCTCCAGGTGCTAGAAAACCAAGAACAAATCAAACCTGAAATTAATAAAATGAAAGGAATAATAAAGAGAATTAAATGAGACTAAAAAAATAAATCACAAATGATCAATAAAATAAAAATTTAGTTTTGTGAAAAGGTAAATAAAATCAGTAAGCCTTTACCTAGACTAACAAAGAAAAAACAGTCATGGAGGGAAACATGGGGTCTCTCTATATTATTTCTTACAACTTAATTAGAATTTAGAATTATCTCAAAACAAAAAATGAAACCCTTGTGATATTTTCCTAAAGAGACCATATATATGTGCACAAAAAAAAAGGAATAAAAGATATTCTGACTGGCAAAAAAAGAATTTAAAAAACATATGACAGTATCAAATACTTTAATATATGTAATTCAAATCCCAGAAATAGATGATGGTAGGCATGGGGCACAGAACACACAGTATCTGAAGAAACTTTTCCAAGACTGATTACAAACACTAACTATAGATCCAGCATAAACTATTCACTACATTACACCTATGCATATCACAGTTCAACTGCTGAAAACCAAAGATAGTGTGAGTGTATGTGTGTGTGAGTGTGTGTATGTGCACGTGAGGAGGAGGAGGAAGTGTAGTAGTAAAAAGAGGAGGAGGAGGAAGAGAGGGAAGAGGAGAAGTGACTGAACTCAAGGCATATGTACATTTGAGAAAAATAGTTCTTAAAAGCAGTCAGTCATTATATACAGGGAAGGAATTAGAAACGGGAAAGCAATGATAAGAACAATGGTTGACTTCTGTAAGCAACAATGGAATCCCCCCAACATCTTTAAAGTCTAAGAGAACACAGTAGAATATTATTTAGGCATAAAAAGGAAGGAATTTCTGATACACACTACAACAACATAGATGAACCTTGAAGGTATTATGCCAAGCAAAATAAGCTGGACACAAAGGGAAAAATATTATACGATTTTAATTATAATATGATACCTAGAATAGGCAAATTTAGAGAGACAGAAAATAGAATAGAGATCAGCAGGTACTAACAGGAGAGGAATAGGTAGTAACTGTTCAAAGTTCCATTTGGGATGACGAAAACATTGTGGAAATGGATAGTAGCGATGGCTACACAACACTGAATATGAGGTATGACTGAAAAATATGTTGTTGGTTTAAATTCTTTTAAATTATCACAGTAAAAGACATGCTTCCATTAATCTCTCTCAAAGTACTCTTTAGTTGTGCTGTCATGGTTGCCTCAATGTTGTGAATCAATTCAAAATGTTTACATTTTATGGTCATTTTGACTTTGGGGAAGAGCCAGAAGTTGCACACTAGGCACTATGGACAGGATTTAGGATAAGGGGACATCAGAATGCCTTTATGAACCTGCCTTTCCCTTAGTAGCACTCAGTAGCAGCATTTACTGTATTTTTTAATCACATCATATCTAGGAACTCAAGAAAGAGAACTTTCAGAACTGCTTTATAAAGTGGCAAGAATAAATGTGTTTGAACTGAGGGGGCTCATTTTAATGGGGATTAATGGCAATATATCTTTTATTGTAATGATTTACTGT